ACTGTGTTGGCCACTGGTCTTGTTGCCACTGCGGTGCCATGGACGATGGAGCAGGCTCCAGTGCCCAATTCTGTCACTGAGACTGGGGCGATGGGCTGAACTGGGCCTCTGTGCCAGAGGAAGCACCTTCTGGCGACCCGGGAGGAGCCGTCGACGCCTGAGTCTGTTTACTGGTCATGGCTACCGGTGATCGCTGGCCAGGTGTAACTGACCAGTGACCTTATTGGGGAAAGCGGCGCTGGTGCCGGGGGAGACCGGCAATAAGTTGGGGAGCGTTCCCATTGTGCTGGCGATCCTGACCGATGTCTAGAGGTAGACTGGCAAGAGGGTGAACGATGCCGGTCATAGTACGGGGAGTGTCAACCCGGTGCCGCAGAGTAGCGCCAAGGAGACCGGGAGGAGAGTCCGTGCCTCTTTGGGATTCTCTACACCAGTGTTATTCACAGCAAGGCCTGCGAGCCAGTGGCGGCTCCCATGGACTCTAAGGGCGGCTCCCTGTTGATCGTGCTCTCCAGCGGTTCAGTGGGGCTACAGCTAAGGCAGGCTCCCTGCGTTCCCTGATCCCACGCCGCTCCCGGAAGCAGCCAGCATGCCCCCGCGGCCCTGGGGGGTAAGAGAGGAGCAGAGGTCTCAGGGCGCTGCTCCTGCCTGCAAGCACCGTCCCCATAGCTCCCATTGGCCAGGAACGGGGAACTGTGACCAACGGGAGTTGTGGGGGCGGTGCCTACAGAGAGGGGCAGCGCGCTGAGCCACGTGCCCCCCCAGAGGCCGCAGGGGTGTGTTGGCCCCTTTCAGGAGCGGCGTGGGGCCAGGGCCGCCCAAAGTAAGTGCTGCTCTCTTCAATGGGCAGATTCTGAATAGCTCTTCCACCACCCAACCTGCAGCCTCCTGGAGCCAGCCCCTGAGCCCCACCCCCTCCTGCACCCCGTATCCCACCCCCTCCCAGAGCCAGCCCCCCATGTCCCCTCTTGCATCCCAAGCAATATTACCCATAACGGTAATATTACCATATCAACCAACAAAAAACTCGGAGTGTTCAACCATCTGTGTCGGGTTGATGTGGCTTTCACATTGACAATTTTTTGCCAAAGTGGGCCCCATTTCAAAAATAGTGAAGAGCACTGCTCTACGCAGTTGAGATTGACGTTTCTTGTCTGGTGACCAGCGGTGTTCCTCCTCCCCCAGAGGGGTCTTAACTGTGGGCTTGCACTCTTGGGGAGCCTTAGCCTGTTCCTGTGGCACCGAAGACATCGTAAGAGCAGGTGGAGACCTGTGCACTCTCTGCGCCTGGGATTGGGATGACGACGGTGCAGGCAGGGTTGCGGGTCCCATTCTGCTCCCAGGAGTCGGTGGCGGACCTTTAAGGGGACTAAGAGCCCCAGTCGTGGAGGCACGCTTGTGTGGTTCTGGAGAAGGCTGGCGGGCAGGCCCGGGTCCTTTGCTAGATGACCCCTGGGCCTTCTTGCTTGGTTCTGGAGAGCGCTTTTTAACCTTCTTCTTCGGTACCAGCATTAGCTAATGGTGCTGGGAAGAGCCAGGTGCCAGGGACGCGCTGCGCACGGAGGCCGAGGCGCTCGGTGTGGCCTGTGTGGAAGGCTCGGAAGCCGGGCGGAGAGTGGACTCCATCAGGAGAGCCCTGAGGTGAATATCCCTCTCCTTTTGGGTGCGAGGCTGAAAGTTCTTGCAGATCTGGCAACGCTCCTTGATGTGTGACTCCCCCAAGCACTTAAGGCAGCTGTTATAGGGGTCACTCACAGGCATAGGCCTGCTGCAGCCCAAGCAGGTCTTAAACCCAGGAGCACGGGGCATGCCTGGCCTGGGGCAAAGTCCCCGCTGGGACCCTATTAACTAACTAACACTTAACAACTTCTTAACACTATCAACAATATACACGAGGCCCGAAGGCATGGAGTCCAAGGGAAGAAAACCGTTAACTCTTGTCAAGCAAGACAGGTGCTCTGACTGACCACCACGGGCAGTAAGAAGGAACTGAGAGGGTGTGGGCTGGAGGCGCCTGATATACCGCGGCATGAGTGCAGCACTCTAAAGGGTGCCACAGCCCGCCCTACGGGTACCGCTAAGGCAAAAATCTCTGACAGCCATGCACATAGGCGCACACACACCTAGAATGGAACTGACGCGAGCAAACACTCATGAAAGAAAAAAAAATTCCAATCTTGATTTTAAAATTGCCAGTGATGGAGAATCCGCCATTTTGTTCCAATTGTTCATTACTCTCACTGTTAAACATGTACGTCATATTTCCAGTCTGAATTTGTCTAGCTTCAACTTCCAGCCACTGGATCATGTTATATCTTTCTCTGCTAGATCAGAGAGAGCCCATTTGTTCCCCCGTAGGTTCATATAGACTGTATTCAATTCACTCCTTCACCTCCTCCTTGTTAAGCTAAATTGACAGAGCTTGTCGTCTAATTCTTTAATCAAACTTGTGGCTTTTCTCTGAATCATCTCCAATTTATCAGCATCCTTCTTGAATGGTGGGCACCAGAATTAGACAGTATTCTGGCAGCGGTCACAACAGTGCCAAAGTAACCTCTCTACTCTTTCTTGAGATTCCCGTTTATGCACCCAAGGATTCCATTATCTCTTTTGCCACAGCGTCACACTGGGAGCTCATGTTCAGCTGATTTCCACCACAACTCCCTAATCTTTATTTTTTCTCCTCAGAGTCACTGCTTCTCAGGATAAAGTCCTCCATCATGTAAGTATAGCCTACATTCTTTCTTCCTAGATGTATTCATTTACATTTAGTCATCTTAAATGTGTAATTATTATTTCTATTTTGTGGGCGGAAAACCAAAATGGTTATTAATTCCAAATATGATCACTTGTACAAGAAGGTACAGGTAGCTTTACTACACTACACTACACTATGCCATTGGCAAAAAAAGCTTATGGGAGCATATAAAGTTTACATAAAACATCATGTAACCTGTGAATAAATGTAATGAAATTTAGTGCTAACAAAAACAATGACTAAACTGCACTGAACTAATGCATGCAGGTGCTGTACAAAGTTGCCACACAGTTCTGGCTTATTTGTACAATGAAACTGTCAACCAGTTGGGCGATGCTTGACTGTAGGAGTCAGAACTTTCACAGACACTAAACCTAAGCTACGTCTACACTACCACTTATGTCAGTATAACTTATGTCACTCAGCAGTGTGAAAAAGCCACCCCCATGAGCGACCTAAGTTACACCGACCTAAGCGTCGGTGTGGACAGTGCTATGTTGGTGGGAGAGCTTCTCCCACCAACATAGCTACCACTGGTTGTGGGGGCTGGAGTAATTAACCTGAAAGGAGAGCTCTTTCCCATTGGCTTACAGCGGCTACATTCGAGAGCTTACAGCAGCGCAACTTCATTGGTTCAGCTGTGTTGCTGTAAGATCTCTAGTGTAGCCATAGCTAAGACATTGACGCTCACTCCTGCGTTTCGGGAAAATTACAGGGAGGAGCTAGACAGACACTCTAGCTGGGGGGCGGAGCAGAAGCAGCCAATGTTTATTTTAAAGCTTTTTTTATTTTTATCAATTTAAGTTCACACCGATGTGGGAAATTAATGGGGGAATCAAATAATAATTTTTAATGACAGTAGACCCTGAGATCCAAAAAGTTAAAGCTTTAATATTGTTAAAACAAAAACTGTCAATATCATCAAAATATACAAAGTAAGTACCCTTAAATCAAACTCTAATAAATTCTCAAGCAGCATTTTTTTTACTTTGCTTATCTATAAATTTAGATTATTATTGATGGTAATTTTTTTGTCAGTTTGTAGATTGTCGATTGATATTTCCTGACATTTACCATCAAAAATCTAATCCTTCCAAGCCTAATTATACTCAAAGAGCAGACTGCTAAGTAGCCTTTTAATATCTCAAAGAAAAAATGTATTTTAATTAATAATGTACCACACAACCTTTAAATAGGTCTCTTAGTTTATTGAGTACAGTATCAAAATTATACCAGCCACACAGAAACACTAACTAACTTTTACACAGCAACATAACCTATCTTGGTACTACCTCACTTTTGCAGATGGAAAACTCTGGCAGAAAGGTTAATGGACTCGTTCAATGGAGTGTCAGAGTCAGACCACACCTTTCTCAGAGTATGGTTTCTCGCTAAGGTTAGTTCATATGTATATACAGAGAGAACAATGAACTTATGAATAGAGAAATAGTATGGCAATGGGTGCAAATATAACACCACAGACAGATGGCAATATATAAGTAAACATTTTGGATTCAAAGCCAACTTTGGCTAAGTGATTGATAATTACAGACAGGCATTATATTAAGTTAGCTAATTTCATACAGGGATTATTTACAACTGACATGTGCTGTCTCTGGCATGGAATACAACAGGTATTCTGCAGCAGAGACACTACAGAAATGTCTTTTTTGTGTGATTATTTTAGGAAGGAATTGAATAACAACTTAAATTGACCCTGTGAGGACCATTTTAGGTAGGTGGAATGTTCAGTGATTACCCAACATGGAATTTAGCCACACCACCAGAATCATCATTTTTACTGAACTGGATGGTTCTAAATCTCATTTGAAAAATAGCAGCACAGAGTCCCTATCACAATAATAGCTCATTAGTTCAATACCAATTCAGAGGATGAGTATTACCTACCTAATCGCCCAACTCTAATTTTTGCAGCACCTGGGCTTTTCAGAAACATGGTTCTAAGAGACCATGCTTTGGTTAGCTAGGGGATTTAATGAGGCAATAGCCAAAAGTTATATATCAGGGTATTATTAACGGTTTTAAGACATTTGCATTTCATTAGCACTCTGAATGTGCTAGGTGATGTCATCAAGCACAGAAAAGCAGTTCCTACCCCCAAAGAGCAATACTCTTTTATTTGTGAATTGTCAACATTACTTAAATTTTATTCTGTTTCTCCTCAAACTATTTTTTGTGCAAAGTAAGTCATAAGCAAAAACAAAAAATGTCATTGCCTTACCTGCAGATTGAGCATTGTAAAGAGAAGGATCTACAGCTGGGATATTTTGTGGAGTGGGTTGAATGATATTACTTGTTACACCTGCAAATCAGCAAAACAACAGTGGAATTACACTATGTTACTCTTAATTATAGACTTAAAAAGCAAGTTGTTAACAGGAGGTTTAATTGTGTTACTTACAGTGTTAACAATCCTGAACTGGCTTTTATTGGAAATAATTGAGACTGAAGGAAACTTTAGGAGAACTTCAGAAACACTTATAAAGTACTTCTGAAAAATAATTTGTTGGCTAAAAATGTTTAAATATTTCTATATAGCATCTTTCATTAAGACGTATTCAAGAACAGCTATTTCAGTACAATATTTCATAGAAGTAACATAGAATCATAGAATATCAGGGTTGGAAGGGACCTCAGGAGGTCATCTAGTCCAACCCCCTGCATCAACAGGTACAGAAAAGTTGGTGTGAAAAAAAGGTCCAATGAGAACAGGAGGTCACCAGATTTAGAGTTTTTGGGAAAATTAGTACAAGGAACTAGGAGAAAGCAAAGGGGTCGGGGGAGAAGAGAACAGAAGTAGCATTTCTTTATTCTCAAAGAGGGTTAAGAATTTCAGGCCAAGAAGAAGAGTTAAGGATTGAGACATGATGAGATACAGAAAAGTTGTTCCACATGATGCTTGCATCAGGAAAGGAAACATTTTTTATCTGGGACTGTGCTCCTTTGAAAATACAGTTTTCACTCTTAAGTCTTGTGCTCTCAGTGAGAGAGACAGCACTTCTCCATCTCAAATCTTTCTCTGACCCCTGACATAAGGGTAGTTCTGTGTGAGACCAACACCCTCCCCACACGTGCAGACAACCCCTTATTACCCTACAACCATGCCATTATCCTGGGGCATCCTAAACTACCAATTGTGTCCCTCGGCTGGTGGATGAAGGAACCCCATATATGGTATGGGCTGCTCCGTACATATTGGATAAGGAGTCATGGACCTATGGTTGTGAGTCAGACTAACTACCAGTGTATGTAAAAGTTGTAGTTATGGAAAAACCCAGATACAAGAGTCTGTCTCGGTTAGACAGTTTGAAAGAGATCCCAGCCTTTTGGAATCACTGAGTTCAAAAGGAGGTATGACAGTGGTAGACGAAACCTGTTAAGGAGTTCATCACCTGAAACAAGAGATCCTAAGAGCTAAAATCAGGTCTTGGAATGTGAGAACCATGTGGGTTCATTGGGAAACTGAGTCAAGAAGTTTGAGTCAGTCTCAGTTCAATAACAGTATTCCCAGAGGGAGCAAATGAGATGGACTGAATGTGGAATACTCCATTCAGTTGGTATCATGGTACTCTATTCATGATACTCCTGAAGAGAGAGTTGGAATACCCCTTGACCAAAAGACAACACATAACCTCTACAAGAATGGGAACTAGTCAACTCATGAATTGTAAGAGCACATTGTGTTACAAATCATGTTAATTAACTACCACCAAGCGTTACACACTTACCAATGATCATGATGAACAAGCAAAGGGTGCATTCTACAACAAGTTGCAAGATGTACTAAACCAGGTCTATGCTTATGATGTAGTTCTGGTTATGGGTGATACGAATGCCCAAGTTGGTTATGGCAGCCTCGGATCTGAGCATTTCATACACATGGAATTGAGAGTCAGATAGAAAATGGTAAAAGATTCATTGAGATGTGCAGCATGTATAACTTGTGCCATTGGTGGGGGTACTTTTCCCTCATCTCAGGAAACACAAACTACCAGGCAAATCAAATGATGGAATTGCTGAGAAACAATTGGATTATGTTGCCTAAACAGATGGCACAGAAGATCACTGCAGGATGCAAGATCTTCTACAAATTCTAATGCAGGAAGTAACCACTACTTTGTCATTGGAACAGTTAGAATAAAGCTAAAAGACAAGTTAACAAGAAAAGAGATATTTGATTGAAGGAGGGAGTTTAAAATCCAGCATTGATGAATCTGAAGAATTGCAGGTAACAAATGATGACATAGAGGAGCAATGGGCTTGCTTTAGAGATGTCTGCTGGGAAGCTGCAATAACTTCACTTGGATCAAGATGATCAAGGACAGAAGAGTGGATACAGCCAGGCACATGGAAACTGAGTGAAGAAAGAGAAGTCTTAAAAAAGAGCCAATCACAGGTGACACAACCAGAAGAACAATGCATGCTGCAATGGGAATATGTAGAGAAAGACAAAGAAGTAAAGAAGTTATACTGGAAAGATAAGAGACAACCGTGGGTGCTACGGCTGGAGACAGGACTCTTGGTGCTGCTAGGCTCTGTGGCAGGGAGCCTTCCAACCCCTGGAGCCCTTACAGGCTCCCCTTACCACAAAAGGTAGCCTGCCAGCCAGTAGAACCCCGGATGGAGCAGGGAGCCTTGCAACCCTGAGAATCCTGGCTCCAGCTGGGGCTCCCAGGGCTGTCAGGCTCCTTGCTGTGGAGCAGCTAAGTGAAATTGACACTCTTGTCAGTTTCATAGCTGCTATTCAGTGAACAGGGCAGCAAGCATAGCATTGTTGGAAGAGCAGAAGGGCTAAGACACTCCATTAGATACGGTCCCAAATGTAGGAAAATGATGTTTCTAGGTGGAGAGATTTGAAGACGAGGTCAAGTAAATAAACCAGGCATCAATGGAGGTATTCAAATGGAGTTGCAAAGCTCCAAAGATGCATTAGAATAACTCACCCTTCTGTGCACCTTTACCAATTAGAACAGATTTAATTGCCCACACGAGAACTTTCACCATTAGCTTGGTCAGTGAATGGATATGTTATGTCCACAATATGAGGGTTTTATATCTTTTAGGGTGAACAATTTTGCTTATTCTGTTTTAACCAAGTGTATCCATTACCCATATAAATATATTTTTTACATCTTGTGGCAATGTATTGCCAAAGGTTAATTATGCACAATGTCAGTCTTTCCTTTTATCAGTTATAAACGTATTGCCTTTTAATTCTGTTGATGGTCTTCTTGATCTTGTATAACGAGAAATGGCAAGAGGGAGTGTCCAATTCACCTTCTGTATCCCATTCATTAGTTGGTATACACATCTATCCTGTCCTCTTATTCCTCTGCTCTCTAAACTACATTTCTTTTCAATCTTTTAAATTTCTCCTCATATGGGAGCCTTTCTATGCCCCTTCTATTTCTTCTATATTTCTTTGAGATGGGTCATGAGAACTAAGCACCATATTCCAACTGAGGATGTACAGTGATTTAAATCATTACATTTTAATATTTCAGTCATATATTTTTTAGACCTTACTTTACACTCAGCATTTTGGTTAGACTTTTTGACCGCCACTTGCCCACAGAGTACATACTTCCATCGACTTGTCCACAAATATTTGTTAATAATGGGAAACATAAATTCTTGTCACTATCCCTTGTAGTCAAAGACCAAAACTATTTTGCCAAACTTTTAACAACAACAACAAACAACAACAACAACAAAATCACTTTCAGGCTGAGACCAGTCATAGAAAGTTTCAGCCCAACAAGTGAAAGTTCCAGAAAGTCACAAATGTCCAAAAACATGGGGATTAACATGGTAATTTATGAAGTATTCACTATAAAAGCTGCCTGTGTTCTAACACATATACAATATTGCAGCCTTATTATACTTTACATATAACTGGAAAGGAGGCTACAATGGAATAGCAAAGCACCTCACAGTAAAAGTAAATCTGTGTTCCTGGATATAAATGCAACATACCTGTGCTATGAGGTACTTCAGCTGGAGTGTTGGCTGGAGCATGTGCACCAGGTGGGATATGTATGCCAGTATAATTACTAGTTGGCATGTTTGGGTCATATGTAGAAGATGATGGCTGAGATACTTGGGTAGGCAGAGCAGATGAGCTAGCTTCTTCACTTTCAGCATCTGTTAAGATACAGAAAAGGGCAATATTAATTCTCATTTTGTGCAAGCATATAAACTCCCATTTATTTCTGCAACAATAATCCACCTTGACTTCTCTATATGAATAACATCTTGTACAGTTATAAAATGAATGGTTTAACAACCATTATCAAATAATCAAATAACGAGCTATAGAAGTATAAATGCATCATGGGATAAGTTCTGGGAGCTCACATACTTAAAACGTGTAGAGCTGTAGATAGATGTCTGAAAGAGAATGCATGTCATCACTGGGCTGAATATGAACAACCTCATGGTTTTATTTTTCTGAATCCTTACGTTTTAGCATATAAATTATACAGAATTAAAAACAGTTTGACAGAGTACAGTGTGTACTAATGAATATATTTGAATGAACACACTACATTGTATAAGGCAATCTCTCTTTTATGTGGCATGTATATTCATGAGGAAGATGTTAACAAGATTAAAATGAGAAATGAAAAGAAAGCAAAGAGAAAAACACAAGAGAAAATTTGGGAAGGAAGTAATATTAAAGAGGGCTTATAAGACATTTGGTCAGCTGATCCATGGCCATGCCTGCAGAACTTCGAACATCAAAATATGAATGGCTGACCTATCTTAGTGTAAAGCTAATAGTTGCCTCTTTAAAAAAATCCTGGCTTATAACTGGCATATAACTTTAAAGATCCAGTCTAGTCTGCTAAGTATGGTCACATCTGCACCATGCATAATTTATCCTAACTGTCCAATTTTATTAAGAATTTGTTTCTGTTCCTAGATTTCTAGTGGAGCTCAAGCCAACAAAGCTCTGTTTCATTTATTGGAGGTGTGCCTCTGCATGATTAGAAAGGTCAACAGGAACAACCACAGTTCTGGAAATAGTGTTTGTTAGCTGCTGGTGCTTCAAAGACAACGGAAAGAACGTAAGAGCATAAAGTTGTATCTAGATCTTGCAAAAACTGGTTATTTTAAAATTCCTTACGAAGTGCATTCTGGTCTCCAGCTATAGGAGATCCGATCAAGTATGTAAATATTAGTGTCTAGTAATGAAAATGGGACAGTCAACTGATGGAACTGAGATTTTGCCCCACTTAAGGCTTTTCAAATAAATGGGAAAAAGGTATAATTTGAGTTACATGTAGGACAGCTAACTTTAGTAAAAATAGTAAACAAATACCACTTTCTATTACCTTTCACAAAAGACGGTTACTCACCATTGTAACTGTTGTTCTTCGAGATGTGTTGCTCATATCCATTCCAGTTAGGTGTGTGCGCGCCGCGTGCACGATCGTCGGAAGATTTTTACCCTAGCAACACCCGGTGGGTCGGCTGTGGAGCCCCCTGGAGTGGCGCCGTTATGGCGCTGGATATATACCCCAGCCGACCCAGCGCCCCCTCAGTTCCTTCTTGCCGGCTACTCCGACAGTGGGGAAGGGGGGCGGGTTTGGAATGGATATGAGCAACACATCTCGAAGAACAACAGTTACAACGGTGAGTAACCGTCTTTTCTTCTTCGAGTGCTTGCTCATATCCATTCCAGTTAGGTGACTCCCAAGCCCCACCTAGGTGGCGGGGTCGGAGTGAGACATTGCTGTGTGCAGAACCGCTGACCCGAAAGCAGCATCGTCTCTGGACTGTTGCACCAGCGCATAGTGAGTAGCAAATGTGTGGACCGATGACCACACTGCAGCTTTACAAATGTCCTGGATTGGTACTTGAGCCAGAAAGGCAGTCGAGGAGGCCTGGGCCCTCGTGGAATGAGCAGTGAGGCGTGGCGTCGGTACACCGGCCAGGTCGTAGCAAGCACGAATGCAGGACGTAATCCAAGAGGACAGGCACTGTGAAGAGACCGGTGAGCCTTTCATCCGGTCGGCCACCGCAACGAAGAGTTGCGTCGTTTTCCTAAACGGCTTTGTACGGTCAATGTAGAAAGCCAGGGCCCTGCGAACGTCCAAAGAATGTAAACGTTGGTCTTGACGAGTAGCGTGCGGTTTCGGATGGAAGACCGGAAGAAATATATCTTGGTTTACGTGGAAAGGTGACACCACCTTTGGAAGAAAGGCAGGGTGGGGGCGAAGCTGCACCTTGTCCTTGTGGAACACCGTGTAAGGGGGCTCGGATTTCAGCGCCCTGAGTTCCGAGACGCGTCGTGCTGAGGTGATGGCTACGAGGAAGGCTGTCTTCCAGGATAAGTAGAGGAGTGAGCAGGTCGCCAATGGTTCAAACGGAGGCCCTGTGAGCCTGGAGAGGACGAGGTTGAGGTTCCACGTCGGAACCGGCTGTCGTTGCTGTGGGTACAGCCGGTCTAGGCCCTTGAGGAATCTAACGACCATCGGGTTAGAGAAGACCGAGGACGTGAGTTCTCCTGGGTGGAAAGCGGAAATGGCGGCGAGGTGAACCCTAATTGAGGATGTCGCCAAGCCTTGGTGTCTTAGGGACAGAAGGTACTCCAGTATCAAGGGGATAGGAGCCTGCGCGGGAGACGTAGCTCGTTGCTCACACCAACAGGAGAACCTCTTCCACTTGGCTAAATAAGTGGTCCGCGTAGAGGGCTTTCTACTTCCCAGCAGGACCTGTTGGACGGCCTGGGAGCATTGCCGCTCTGACCGACTCAACCATGAAGCATCCACGCCGTGAGGTGGAGTGACTGCAGGTCGGGGTGACACAGCCGGCCGTGGTCCTGAGAGATGAGATTCGGAGTCAAGGGGAGCGTGATGGGCCTCTGTACTGACAGCTCCAGCAGTGTGGTGTACCAGTGCTGTCTCGGCCAAGCGGGAGCGACTAGAATTACCCGTGCATGGTCCCTGCGGATCTTGAGCAGCACCCTGTGGACCAGCGGGAATGGAGGAAAGGCGTAGAACAGATGGTCTTTCCATGCCATGAGGAAGGCGTCCAACCGAGAGCCCGGGGCTCGCCCGTGTAGGGAGCAGAATGCCTGGCACTTCCTGTTGGCCCGAGACGCGAATAGGTCGATCTGGGGAAACCCCCACCTTTGGAAGACGGAATAAATGATGTCCGGGCGAATCGACCAATCGTGCGTCTGGAAGGACCTGCTGAGACGGTCCGCCAGCGTATTCTGGACTCCAGGCAGGAATGACGCCGTGAGATGAATCGAGTGGGCGATGCAGAATTCCCACAGGCGAACGGCCTCCTGGCATAGGGGAGATGAGCGAGCTCCGCCTTGCTTGTTGATGTAAAATATGGCCGTGGTGTTGTCGGTGAGAATCAGCACGCAACGGCCTTGTAGGAAGTTGAGGAAAGCCTGGCAAGCCAGGCGCACCGCCATCAGCTCTCGGACGTTGATGTGCAGGGCTAGTTGGGACGCGGACCACAGGCCTTGGGTATGGTGCTCCCCCAGGTGAGCGCCCCAGCCTAGAGATGAAGCGTCCGTAACTAGGTGGAGGGAGGGCTGCGGGGCGTGAAAGGGTACTCCTGCACAGACCGCTGTGCGATCCGTCCACCAGGCGAGAGAGGCCAAGACCGAGGCCGGAACCGTGACCACCATGTTCAGGTCGTCTCGATAAGGACGGTAGACCGATGACACCCAAGCCTGCAGTGGGCGAAGTCGCAGTCTGGCGTGCCTGGTTACGTATGTACACGAGGCCATGTGGCCCAGAAGGACAAGGCATGTTCTTATGGTGGTAATTGGAAAGGCCCTGAGACCTTGAATGACGCCTGAGATGGTATGGAATCGGCTGTCTGGCAGTATGGCTCGGGCACGTCTGGAGTCCAGGATTGCTCCAATGAACTCTATCCTCTGAGTTGGTACTAGAGTGGACTTCTCTCCGTTGAGTAGAATGCCCAGCTCGTGGAAAGTGTTTGTCACTATGCGGACATGAGCCTGCACTTGGTCTCTGGTGCGGCCGCGTACCAGCCAGTCGTCCAAGTACGGGAACAGCTGTATCCCTTGTCGACGAAGGAAGGCCGCGACAACTGCCAGGCACTTTGTGAACACCCTGGGAGCCGAGGACAAGCCGAAGGGAAGGACTGCGAATTGGTAGTGTACCCTGTTTACCACGAATCGCAGGAAACGTCTGTGGGGCGGATAAATTGCTATGTGAAAATAAGCGTCCTTCATGTCGAGGGCGGCGAACCAGTCTCCAGGATCCAGTGAAGGGATAATGGTCCCCAATGACACCATGCGGAACTTCAACTTTACTATGAATTTGTTGAGTCCGCGTAAGTCTAAGATGGGCCGTAGACCCCCTTTTGACTTGGGTATCAGGAAGTAGCGGGAGTAAAACCCCCTGCCCCTTAGCTCCGATGGAACCTCCTCTATGGCCCCCATAGCGAGGAGCCCAAGAACCTCCTGTGTAAGGAGTTGCTCGTGAGAAGGGTCCCTGAAGAGGGACGGGGAGGGGGAGTGGGAGGGGGGGGGCGAGGAAAACTGGAGGGCGTATCCCCCTTTCACCGTGCGAAGGACCCAACGGTCCGAGGTTATACGGGACCAAGCACGGTGGAAACGGGAGAGGCGATCCCGGAAGGGGGGAACCGAATCCTGGAAATTGGTTGAGGTGCCGTCCTCGACCGCACCTTCAAAAGGCTTGTCTAGGCCCAGAAGGTGGCCTAGGCTGGCCCTGGTTCTGACCGGGTTGAGGGCCGGTCGACCTCCGCCTACCACCTCGACCCCGCCTCCTAGCAAAGTCCTGTCTTGGACGAGGCGGGGGAGGGTAGAACCGCTGAGGCTGGGGCCTGAAGGGTCTGCGCTGAGGCCCTGGGACATGCATCCCCAGGGAGCGCATCATCGTCCGGGAGTCTTTTAGATTTTGGAGCCTCGAGTCCGTTTTCTCTGAAAAGAGGCCCTGGCCCTCGAACGGTAGGTCCTGCAGGGTCTGCTGCAGTTCAGGTGGCAAGCCTGACACCTGGAGCCAGGAGATTCGGCGCATTGCTATCCCCGACGCCAGGGTCCTAGCGGCCGAGTCCGCTATATCAAGGGACGCCTGTAGGGAGGTGCATGCCACCCGCTTGCCCTCCTCTACCAAGGCCCCGAACTCTTC